GCTCTTTCCATCTCTCTATCCATCTAATTTTATCTTCAAATGAAAATTTCTTTCTATTTGCTCCGTTAACACATCTTCGTTGGTATAAATTATTATTTATAATCAGTTATTAATTATCATATTTTTCTGCACAATATACTTATATTAAAGGAGAAATGTCATCAAACTGTATAAATACATTTTGAGTAATATATAAAAGTATATAATTATTCAACTTCTAAAGATCAAGTTAACTGAAAATGTCGATTTTTTCTCTATTTCTTTAAGGCTAGGATATTAACCCTACCATTTGCCTTTTTTCTTTATTTTACAAAACATTGTTTTCATACATTTTATATCTATTTTCTTTCCCTCCATCTCCTCCTCCTCATTGTCATCTCCGTCACACGGTATCCATTTAGAAAGACACATGTATAATACTGTATATGTAATGAATCTTTCTATCGTTCTTCTTTACTTTTGCTATTTTTGGTTTGTCTAAAATGCTATCACTAAACGCCTATAATAATTAAACATTATGATTTGAAGACTTTAAGTAAGAAAAAAGTCTTTAAAATTCTCTGCTAGCTAACCCATATGACGACAATGTTTTATATTTCATATATGTTTTTTTGCATAATTAAACATTAGCACTCTTCGAAAAAGCCTAAAGTGGCTAGCTTAGATAATTTAGTAAGGATGACACACATTTTAAGCGTTTAAACACAATTCTTATCTAATAAAAATTTGACCTATTTTCCCAAGTCAAGAAAAATTAAATAATGATACAAAATATATCAACACGGAAAAATACTTTAAACAACTGGGAAAATTGACTTAAAAATTATGATTTATTAGCATTGAGTTTCGATTTATTCCAATTGATTGTCAACATATGACAAAGAGGATATTTGCAATTGGTCTTGGTCGTGTATATGCTCGATAACAAAGAATTAACCGCTTTCTTTTGCTTTTACTTCAAGCTACTTTTAAAAGGAAAGAACAATTTATCATTCAGTTTCGTTAAATTCAGTTAGTAAAGTGTCATTCGATTTATTAAAATATTACTAACCAATCTAAATCAACTTCTACATTTTTTGTTTTCTAATAACGAACAATGGACGCTTTTAGATTTATCTAAATGATTATCCATATTACAATATTTAATGCAAATTGGACACTGTTATCGATCTTGAGGGAGGAATTCTTGAAGCAGAAGAGTTGATGCTTTCATCGAAACCCTTAAGCCACCTTGTTTCTAGTATTACCTTTCCTTTGGAACTGGAGAAAAATTACTTTCACAGAGAGCCTTTTAGGTATATACACTTCTCATGTATTATTCATTCAGAATTATACAGTTAGAAAGAATATTCGGAAGCATTTCTTTTCTTCTCTATGAAGTATCTCTACCAGGCATTCGTTCTATTTTCTACCGTACTCTAATTTATAAAGAAGAGTCTTAAGGAATTCGTTCTAAACCCTTTTTTGTAGTTAAAGACACAAATAGTATAGGCGAAAGTGATTTTAGTTTTTTCTTTTTTTTCTCAAAGTAGCGGAATGTTGGCATTTTCTTCCGTTTGACATAGTTTAAGAAAAATTACGCCGGTTTTTAATTTTGTGAGTCTTGGGAAAAGATATTGTGACAATATCCCTTCATTTCGCAGAGTTTGTTAATGAAAGCAAAAAATAGATTTAATTACGCTACATTAATGCATCACCTACTACAAGGGGAAGTTGGTGTTAAAGATGGGGTATTATTTCTACTAAATTTTCGTAAACTGATCTATAATCATTAATTTACTCTTTCTTCTTTTATATATCCATTTTTGTTTTTGTTTTACGGTCTTTAATGAAGAAGAGAGATATATAGATAAATAGATAAATAGACAGATAGATAGAAAAGAGGAAATTGTTTTATTATTTATCGCCATCTTGGCTTTCTACTATACTTAATTCTTTCCTTGGTTAAAAAGCAATCTTAATTTTCTTTATTTAAGAGCAAATGTGATTTTTGTTTATTACCCTAACCATAAACTATATATCTCCCCTCCTTTATTCATCTTCTAAGGAGAAATCAAGACTCTCAAAGATTTTGATATTAGGCGTTTTCTTCGATTCAGGAAAATATTTAAAAGCCTTAAATCTTTTTTTTCCTTTCTTTTTCCTTTCATTTTTAAAATGAAACAATATTTCAAACTTTTGCTAATAGTAAAGCACTTGGATGATTGACCTGCGACCTACGGATTTAATCGATAAACCATTTATCGGTTTTTTTTCCAACAAAATGACTATTCTAAGTAAGTCTCTACGGTAGTATTGCATATAACTAGAACAAGTATACAATGATTTAATTTGGCTAAAATCCATGTGGGGTTTATAACTTTTGATTGTCAATTTGATCTGAGAGAACAAAATGACTGTAAATCGCTTTAGGAGTAAAAATATATAGATGTTATATACTACATTGCATATAATATTCTTTAAAATGACATATCTAAAGTAAGTTTACTAGGAAACTATTCCTAGAAAATCATCCCCAGAAAATAAGCAGTAGACACTGTGCTATTCAAAAATATATAAAATCACGATATCTAGATATAACATCCATAAATAAACATATAGAACAAAGTAAACAGTAGAAACTTTTAGATACCATATATCCTACGGTTTCTCTGTTTATTCCAAAAAACGACTAAATTGCATTTAATACTTTTTATCCTTAACCTTTCTAATTGGATTAATGGAATAGTATTTAAAATCATACCAGGTTGGAGTCTTCCACACAAAGGATATTAAAGTTTCGTTATTTTCTAAAATATACAAAAAAGAAGTATGAAAACAAACGGACAATTATAGAACAAAATGTAATTTATATTTATAAAGAAGAGAAGAGAGCAGGTTAAACTTTTGTGAATAATTGTAATAAGCTAGAAGATAGAGCTTAAATGCTCTATTGAGATGACTTCAATATCACATAGCAAGTAATGATCCCTTTCTCTTGAGAAATCAATTTATTTATATTTTAGATGTATATATATATATATATACAGTATATATGTATATATATATATATATATATATACAACTATATATATATATATATATATATATATATATATATATTTATTTATTTATTTATATATTTATATATATATAGTTGTATATAATGATTGTTAGCTTTCTATGTCTAGTTATATATAAATAAAACAGGATTTAAAAATACTATTTTGTTTTTGTTCTTTCTCTCTATCCGTAAGCCTATCTTTCTGCATGTCTGTCAATCAATCTTTCCTGCCTCTCGTTCCCTTCCTTCTATCTCTTCACCATTACAAAATTTTTAGTGAAGCTATAACTCGTCAATCCATAATTAATATCCATTTGTAAATAAATAGACTATCTATAGATTGTGCGGATTTAAACAATATATTTATACATATTTTCTTATTCTATTACGCACATGGCAAAAGAACAATTGAAGTAAAAGAGAAATTATTGATGTTTTTCTTTTTCATACTATCTAATTATTGATTTAGTATTAAAATGTTTAACAAAAGGAATAGAACATGGCGAAAAAGGTGATCAAAAAATCAACGAATACAGTATTTTAATGACACTGATCCCAAAAATACCCTTATGTCACTAGAGTGATTCGTTTTTCTAATATCGTAAAATAATATTTTCCATCCTTAGGCTATGAGAAACATCAACGAGACAATAGTTTAAAAAATATGATATTCATAGGTGACGAAAAAACTCGGGAAAATAATTTTTTCTCTATTAATTAACGTAAGTAATAAAACCCTATTAATTTCCTCACCTAAACATTTATGGTACTTAATTATAATTTAAGTTCAGATATACTTAGGAGCAATCAAATCACAGTAAGAAATCTTTACCAATGATCAACTATAATTGAATATTAATGACCAAAACTAAATGAGGAGGAAAATTTTTCATGTGAAAATTAATTTACCTCATTCCATCAAGTATAATTTTTTTGTCCTTTTATTCCGGATGACACCGGAAAAGGAGACATCACGAATTTTCCATGCTGTACATGTTTGTCTTATTTTTTTTACAAATTTACTGTACATACTGTATATATTGCTAATAGCAGGTGAGGAAAAGCATTATTTAGTAAAATACTATCCTCACTGTAGACTATTTTAATGTAAATATATATTTATAGAGAACATTTTCTAAAACAGAGTACAAAAAATCAATCCATATTTACAAATTAAAAATATAGAATTAAACTCATTTCGACTTTGATCTAAAGCCTTGACTAGAGTCAAATTGAATGTGTTTTCATTTTCTCCTTTCAAATCTCCTATTTTGACTTTACGGTAAAATATTAAATTATATTTTTTCGCTTGCCTCCTTTCTCCTCTCTCTTCTCTCATTTAATTCTTTTCTGTTTCCTGTTCGCAAAGCAACATATCTTTATTAACAATCTATTTTTTTTTATATTTCTAGGAATAAAGTCTACTATAGTTTATTTTGCTCATAATTTGTCCATAATTATTCTCCTGCTTCTCCATCATATTCTATCTCTTCCATCGATTTTTTATCTTCGCTGTGATCAGTTTATAATTGTTGACCATAAATCGAAATGTATCCCTTTTTATGGGTAAGTAAATAAACAAGAAAAAAAAAAACAACTTTCGTGGAAAATTTGCGCTTCACTGATAATTAGAGTTAATTAAGCTGATTAACTATTACCTGGGAACACTTTTAAGCTGGAATTAAAAATAATTCTTAAAAATTATTCAGAATATAGTCTATCCGTAGACGCTTGTCTTCTCTTTTCCTTCTAGACTATATAATGTTTTGTAAAGTTTCTTGTCATTTGAATTGAAAAGGTTATTTGTAGGTTAATTGAGTCTTTAAATTGTGACGGGATATTACAAGAAACTTGACATTCAGCTTATGAAAATACCTCAACTGTCGCCATCTATAGGTAAATCTAGATAAATAATGTTCTAGTTTACACAGGAATAGATTTTATCATTTTTTGTATTTCTGCCAATTTATCTAATTGTACGTGTATTTGAATTAAAATAAAACTATTATATGATAATTTGTTGGGTTTTAAAACTTCAAACAACACAGACAAGACAAATTAAATGTTGGAATAATAATTAATTTCCCACTGGGTAATTTGGGACATAAACGAGTCCCATTCTTTTCTTTTCATATGAAGAAAGCCATCAATTATTCCTTGACCAAGAGATTCCCTTAGAAATTCATTAGACTCCAATTTATTTAATGCTGCGTCAAGGCTCATGGGAACTTTTTTAAATTGCCCAGAATAGTTTTGAACATCGAAATCTACTCTAGGTCCTGGATCTGAAGAGAAAATTACGACTTTAACTTTATTATAAGAACTGCAAATTAATCTTTCAAGCAATATAAAATAATAACGAAATATTTTTCTTTACCCGTTTTATTTTTTATTCCATCAAGACCAGTTGATAATATTGCAGCATGCATCAAATACGGATTTGCTGCTGCATCCGGTAATCTAAGTTCTATCCTGAAATAGATAATAGTAAAAGCGTACTATTTTCAATGTCATAATAAATATGAAATGCAATAGGAAATAGAAATACCTATCAGAAACTGGTACTCTAATGAGAACACTTCTATTATTACCACCCCAAGATATTTTGTTTGGACACCACACGCCTCTATTAAGCCTCTTATAACTATTTACTGTTGAACAGTAAAGAGCACAAGCCGATTCAATGTTGTTTAGTAAACCTCCTATGAAATTATAGCCTAACGACGATAAACCGATTTCATCTGTGTCGTCTTCAAACAGGTTCTTTGTTGAGTTAGAATTCCAGAGCGAAATGTTAGTGTGCAAACCATTAGCTAAAACAAAAAAATTCGTATAAACTGCTATATTAGACTTAAAAAAAACTCAACTATAAATTTACAATAGTATAAATAAACTAACCACAAAGTACTTCTGGTAAAGGTACCGCCATAAAAGACGCCTTAACGCCGTGTATTTCGGCTAATTGCTTTATCATAAATTTCATAAACATTTGTCTATCTGACATCTTCAAGCAGTCAACATAATCGAAATTAATTTCATATTGACAACACGAAGATTCGTGATCAATTTCGTACGGATTCCAACCAATTTTTTCCATACAATCTGCTAATTCGCAGAGGAAATTTGAATGTCTTAGCGTTGAATGAGGATCTTGAAGACTCATAGGTTGCTGCATATCACATTCGTCATATAATCTCTTACCATCCTTAGTTAATAGCATAAATTCCGCTTAAACAGTAAAGAAAAACCAGTCAGATAGATAGCTAGAGAGAGAGAGAGAGAGAGAGAAAGATAATGAAAGAGACAGAGACAGGGAGAGAGAGAGAAGAAAAAATTACGAATATTAACTCAATGCGAAAACAAATTTGAATAGAGAGAAATTAATAATATATTCAGTAATTCCTTACGTTCAATACCAGATTTCATAAAATAACCCATCGATTGGGCATCTTGTATTTGTCTTTTTAAACAATCTCTGGGGCATTGTTCGTATGGTTTATTATACATGTATAAATCACTATAGGGTTAAAAAAGAGACAATTTACATAGATATCTGAATATCTCCATTATTATTTTGAAAAATAAACACAAAACTATTAATTCATTAACCTGCTTAACCATCCAAAATTAGGTTTCCAAGGCAACTGAATTAACGTCGAAGGGTCAGGTTTAATTACCATTTCCGGTTCGGCAGGAGAAGATTTGAAGAACATGGCTGCAGGCATCCCACACCCTTTATCTTGAACCATTTTAATTGCTTTTTTAGGTATTAGAGAACATCTGGAATCCGCATTTAGTGGTGAATAAGAAACCAGAAAGTAGTCTATTCCTAATTTTTTTGCAGTTTCTTCTAAATCAATCGAAGACATGATTTCTGTCTCCAACTGCAATTGGAAAGCAGGAAATTTATCAGTCCGGTATCCCGTCCCTCTCTTTTATACTTTAGGTAACCATAATTTACAATAGAATGACATACCATATTAGATCAATATACTACGCCAGATTGATGTTTGTCAAAAACAAGTTGGTACCTAGATTTATTATGAGCGGCTTTTATCAAATATAGAAGAAAGCACGAAAATTAAAGATTAGACATACATTTGTAGTCTTAATTCTCATAGTCATTTTAAAGTGGTGACATAGTTTTATTCCTGATACTTAAAGTCTACATTTTTTAACCTTGATAAAACAATTTATTTCACTTCCGACTTGCTATAATATTAGTATTCTAGCATTATTGATGCCAACCTAAACACTAGTTTTCAATTATCCTATTTTTTTTTTACCTTATTTCTGCCTATATATTCAATTATTTTCATTTTGCTATTTATCTTTTTTATTTGAATTACATTTTTCTCTTTTCTCTCTTTCTATCTACATATCTGTGTAACTCTTACTCTTTCCCTCTCTCTCTCTCTCCAGTTGTTCGAGCTTTATCATTTGTACAATATATGTAAATAGGTCGGGATAAAATATTGCATAATAAAAATTTTCAAGCCATTTATTTCGCTAGATGGCGTTTAATTTCATTAAAAAATGACGATCAAATATATTGAACATGTTCTAAGAAGAGCAAAGATTTGAATAGGAAGAAGAGTATTTTTTCTTTAACATTTCCTCTCATATAGATCTGACAATTGAGAGATATCGTTAACCTTTTTTTGTTCAGTTTTAAAACAATATATAATTCAACTTTCGCTGAATTAGCGATTTTTATTGTAATGTTTAGTCAATAAAATTTGTAACTACAAAATAAATTATTCTATAGTATCAAGCCTATAAGGAAAATTGAAATTACCTGTGTTAAATGAAGGGAAAATGATTTATTGTATATCTATTAAATATACCAAGGAGAAAAATAACTTTCTAATAATTGGTCTTTGATGACTAAATTCTCATTCAAATGAATGATTACTGGATGTTTTCCTTATTTATTATTTTATTATCAACTTAATATAGATATAGAATAAAACAATCCTCTTGGTTGGATGGTCTATATTAAATGTCAGAATAAAAAAAAACAAACTGTCAAATAACATAATCAATCAGACATGGATGCTTGTTTGTTGTATAATTAAGACACAATTGGAATATATATATATACTGTATACCGTATACCTTCCATTCAATCACAAGATAAGAATGAGCAAGTCAAACAAATGCCCTTGCCTTAAATATTTCATATTTTTAGCCGGCGCGTTCGCTATTGGTTTCCTTATTGCTTGGTTTTCGCGAGGAAGTTTAGTGGAGAATGTTGAGAAAAATCAAACTTTTTATAAAGGATTTCAAGAAAAACTAGTTAATAATATAGTTGAAATGGTAGAGGGTAAATATATTAAAAAATATTTAAGAACATATGCCGGAAAGCCACATCTAGCTGGAACGCCCCAAGATAAAATCAATGCTGAAACTCTTTACAAATTCTGGAAAGGCTTGGGATATGAGACAAAAATTATTCCTTATAAAGTATTATTATCTTATCCAGTTGGTGATCCGAAAGAATCGAATCTAGTAGAATTTGCAAAATCTAATGGACTTTGGCGAAGCGCAATATTTGAGAAGAAACTCGGAAAAGCTATCTATAACTACTCTGAGATGGTTCAACCATTTAACGGTTTCTCTGGATCGGGCGATGTTCGTGGAACACTTGTATATGTCAACTATGGAAGAGAAGAAGATTTTCAATATTTAAAAAACAAATTTAATATAAACTTTCAGGGTAAAATTGTAATTGCCAAATATGGGAAAATATTTAGAGGAGACAAGGTTAGTACTTGTACATAAACGCCCTCTCCTTGTGTCTCTATCTATTTCTTGTTACAAACAAATAGGCTAAAACGGCTCAAAGGTGGAAAGCGGAGGGAATAATACTCTTCACCGCTCCATTAGACTACGCTCCCGAGTCGGTTGGAAAACCTTTTCCTGAAGGAATTCTAATGCCATCTAGTGGAGTTCAAAGAGGTTCACTACTTCTCGGGGGAGATCAATTAACACCCGACTTCGCAGCAACAAGTAATATAAATATACAATAAATAATTAAGCATCGAAACAAATACCAATAGAGACAGCAGAATAAAAATTATATAGCTCGCTTTTAGTAAAACAAAAGAAAATGTAAACCCTAAAGATTAAATTTATCCATACAGAAAGTAGAATAACAGTTTATTCTACGTGTTTCCATTTTTGTCTATTGTTTTAAGTTTATATTCAAAGGGGGAGTTAGGACTATTTGAAATTGTCTAATATTTCAATTAATTGATAGAGTATGCTGCAATTTAATATTCTTTTCGAAGAAAGAAAAAACTAAATGCTAATTTTTTATGCCATTCGTTTACAAAGAAAATGTATATATCTATCTATCTATACATCTATATATCTGTATACAATATATTTATATACTATTACTGTTATTATTATTTAAATAACATATATTTAAATATTGAATTTATTACAAATTAATTCGTTGCTCTTTTTGTTTTACAGACAATACATATTCATACAGAATATCAGAGGCTGAAATATCAGACTCGATAAAAATTCCTGTCATTCCGATTAGCTATGAGGATGCTCAATCTCTATTAGAGTATACTTTCTAAATTAGATAAATGTCAATAGCAGTTCAACTAAAATATAATTCACTCAGGCATGAAACAATAGACGATGCTACCATTAAAGAGAAATTACCTTCCGATTGGAAACATGGGCTAAAATTGAAAAAAATAGATACATCTATATACTTTACTTATGACAATTCATTTAACTTGCAAAGGTATCGCAAACTATAGTTCTTTGAATTAAATAATTAGTATATAAGGAAAAAATTTTAGAACTGTAAGAGTCAATGTGAACGTATCGAAAGAATTACGAACTACTTATAACGTTCATGCTACGATCAAGGGCACGACGGAAGAGGGTATATATCATTCATGTTATAACAATAGCATAATAAAGGGTTTCATTATCTGCAGACAGATACGTGATTGTGGGTAATCATAGAGATGCATGGACTCATGGATCTATTGACCCATCCAGCGGGACCGCCACAATGCTTGAAATATCTAGAGTTATCTCAAAAGTCCACCGAGAGAGAGGATGGCGACCTAGACGAAGTATTATATTTTGTAGCTGGGCTGCCGAAGAACAAGGTTTAATAGGTTCAACCGAATGGGTAGAACAATACGGACATATTTTATCAAATAGAGCAATAGCTTATATAAATACGGATATAGCAGTTCAAGGAACAGATACTTTCCGAGGTAGAGTTTCTTCCTCACTTATCGAAACAGTTCTGCTAGAAGCGACAAAAGCTGTTAAAAATCCAAACAAACAAGAGATTAAAGATGGCCGTAATACCGTTTTCGATACGTGGAAAAAGTACTACCCATGTAAACAAAATCCCGAAAAGCCATAGTTTGTATTACTTGATTACGAGTAACTTTTGACAGAGATTTTTTATTTTTACATCCTTTAATAGCTTAATTCCTCTTGGTTCTGGTAGTGATTTTGAACCTTTTGTAACTAGGCTTGGAGTTACTTCTGTTGACCTGCGCTATTCATTTGATCCGGTATAATCTGGCAATCAGTTAACTAAATTCTAATTTTAAATACTTATATTCCTTTTTAGCGTAAACCCTTATCTTCCTATCCACTGTATCATACTATGTATGAAACTATCGAATTAGTTGAAAAATACTACGATCCAGATTATAGCTATCACGCGTCTATTAGTAAAATAATGCTCTACATGGCTTTACGATTAGTCGATTCAGATATTCTTCCCTTCGAGCCGATTTTATTCTCAGAGCAGCTTGGAAATAGCATAAAATCTTTTTCTAAAAAGGCTATGAATGTTGCAAGTGATGTAGCTAAAATGCCTAATAAAGTCAAGGACTCTCTAGGTGCAGATAGAGATTTAAATCCGATTGATGTACAAGACAATAGCTATTGAATAATCGTATTATTACCCTACAGATGATTTACTTAGAGCTGCAGATGAACTAAAAAAAAGATCAAAGAGCTTTGATTCTGTGCTAAAATCTGTCGATAAAACTAGGTAAGTAAGTTATTGAAGATCATTAAAGAAAGGCTACACGTGTTCTTTTCAACCCTTTTTTTTAGACACTTGAACGTCAGATCGATTAATGACCGCCTAATGGAGATTGAGCGTCACTTTATTCACCCACAAGGGTTGCCTAATAGACCTCGCATGAGGAACTTGCTTCTCTCTCCAAGTGTCTATAACAGTTATTCAGCAACTCCTCTACCGGGATTGTACGATACTCTTTTTGAAATTGAAAAAAAACAGAAAACTAGTTGGAAGAAAGTTCATAAGCAAATTAGCTTATTGTCAAACGCCGTTAGGGAGGCGGCAGCCTCGTTAGAATGTACTAGTAATTTTATGATATAGATAAACGCAGAATTAAGATAGAAAGCTTGTATTTAGTCTGATCAGAAATCTATTTGAAATTTTAAACTCGTTATCTATCTATCCATCTTATCAAATATAGCTATCATTTTACTCAAAGGTTTATTTTTGTGTGAATATCTACCGACAGATGGCGTCTTAAAGAACTTTTACAATTTGCTTTATAAAAAGAATATTTTTCTCCCACACCTTTAATCATTCTTTCATGTTTTCTCCCTCTCTCCCGCGCCTTCTCTCTCTGGCTATCTGTTCATTGAGTCTATCTCGTTCATTCTCAATTACAAATTGGTTTAATAACGTTTACAGAAGATATCTGCCAGCTTCCGCAATAAATAATGCAGCTGTAAACTGGCGAATGGTTACCTAAACTAAAAAAACAATTTTTGATTGCTTTTAATCAAATAAAGGTAATATAATTTGTCCTAGAAAGAGAAAAAATAGTGATAAAATGTTAAATAGTATTGAACTGTATATAAGTACATTTATTAGTATCTCTATATATATACTCTAAGGATTGATACTGTATATTTGAAACGTTTTCCTCTGTTTTCTATATTCTTTAATAGATAACGAATTTGGAGAGAAAGAGAAAGTCTCTTTTTATTGTTTCTTAAGTATTATTTATCAAAAAAGACAACAAACCAATAATATTGCACTCGCACGCCAATTATTAGGATAATTTCAGTTTGTTTTTCAACTTATCTACATGTACTCTTCATATAATATACAATATACTTTTAGTACAGTATACTGATTACTATAGAAGTATCAGTATATTGGTAAATTGAATAAAGTTCGTTATTATCATCTCTATTTATGAGAGTGGCAGCTGACAACTTTTAATTCACAGATGATAATCTATATTGGTAAAGGATTAGGCTAATCGCAATTTTTTTCTTTATAAATCAACTTTTCTGGTAGATGCGGTTGTTGTAGCTATTATCTTTGGCCAAAAATATATTCTTATATTATATTTATATATATATGTGACACCTTTATATGTTTCGATTTTTGAAATTGGTCTTCTTTATTCGTAAATGTTCGTTTTATGACTGACAATAATAACCTTGGGCTATCTTTTTTAGAAACTTGACACTGACTATCTACTAAAGGTCGTCTAGTAGCTTCCTCTCTCTATATATACGTCTGTCCCAGTCTATATCCTCCCACACATATATTCTCTCGTTTCGTATTGTGTCAATCCGTTTTAGAATTTTATATAATAGGTAATTTTTTCATCTTCCCTCCGGTCTATAAATTACTTCCGTCGATTATATAATATACCTACATTTAGTCACGATATAGTTTATGTAACCTTTGTATATTTGTACATGGCGTATTCTCTCTCCATTTGTTTTCGATTATAAAAAAAAGGAAATATTCTCTTTCTATTGATTTCTAATATTAATGAATATTTGGAATTTATATCAATATTAATTTAAAATAGAAAATACTCCTATAGAACCAATCTAACGGGAAATAAGTCTAATTTCCCGTTTGATTCCTTCCTCCTTTATTTCTTTATGACTTTCGAATACTTTTGTTAGAGGGCAATAATTAAGCCTAATGACAGAGTATGGATAAATTACACACTATTTATATCAAACGCCAGATGTCAGCATATGCGTTATCCAAGACGTACTTTGTCGACACCCCTATTTTCCCGTAGAACTTGAACTGCTCTGCATAATTAAGAAGGTGCATGGTTCATTTGAAAAGTGAATCCCAAAGCGCCACAAAAACTTTTAAGGAATTTTCTTCAACTGAGCTGAGAACGATTTTTTGCAGATAAGATACTTAAATTCCTCTCTTCTTCTCACATCTTCTGCCGATAAAGCTTTTTTTTTCTGTTTCCCCGTGATATTCGTGCCAAAGAAAATTGGGGAAGAATAAAGGAACAATTGAACAGAGAACGTCTATCAGAAAACTTCTGAGAAGAGGAAAAAGAAGCTAAAAGGAAAAGAAAAAAATGTTCATATCATCAACAACTAATTGGGGGAAACGAATAGATGTGATAGATGCTTGATAAGTTAATTATAATTCTCTTTCATTACTCGAGGACTATAAAAGGATTACTTTTCAAGTAATAGGGTCATGTAAATAGCTGTTGATGAGATAAGGTAAGAAAATATACAGTTTTTATTATATTTTCAAATTTTTATATAAAAAAAAGTTTCTCTTTATTTTTACGATTACAAGTCTATTACATCTATTTTGGGTATCCCTTATCAGTTCATGCAAATTTACTCCTAGCATATTTAATTTCTCTTCTATAAACTTGTAGATTAAGTTATCGCATCCATTTGCATATTGTTTACCTGTGATTACGTAAAGTTATATAAATTAGGCGCGTCATTCGGTTGACGAACACCTGTTCTGGAGCAAAGTTATTTGAACATTTCTTTCTTTTATAAAGGATACTAAATCACTGCTTATTGACTTAGACGTTACACTGTAAATATTGTATATTTTTCCAATCTTATCAGAAAAATGTTGAAGTTCGTCGTGAACGGCAAAAATAGACAAAAGAGGTCACCTTCAACGTCATCGGATAAGCCTAAAGTTTGCACTCTGCAAGCACATATAGATGCTGTCTCCCTACCAATTGAGTTGTCGCGGGAATCGGATAACGATACAGAATTTGAATTATTGATAACCCGGGATGAAATTCGTGATATAACACAAGTCGGCGGTGAGTGTTTTCTTTTGATCTTTGTAACTGTTTCCTGAAAGTTGGGGCACCCCTCGTCTTAAGTGCGTTCTCAATATTTTAAAATGTCGTTAATTTGTAACAATAAAAAAAAAAAGACTGAAGATGCTGAAAAGATGGGATAAACAGTCTTTTGATGTTCGATAACGAAGCTGATTATGTCGAAGAGTAAGGTATAACTTTCTCTTTGAAGTCTGGACAACAAGTATATAACAGGGTAAATTAGCCTTCAAACAACGGCTCTTTTATCTCATCTATTTCGTTATATTTTCAAGTATTTTTCTTTCTTCCCCGCCGTCTTTTTTAAAATTTATCTATAAGAATAACAAAAATATCCGTTTTTATACCATTAAAGGTTCTTTCCTATGATGAAAATGGGAAAATTCTTTATATAATAGCATTCTTTCGTGTCTTATGGATATCAATAACTATTATTTTAACAATGAATATCTATTCTAGTCGATTTATTTTAATTTCTTGAAAAAACATAATATAATTCCTTATCTCCGCTCATCTAAAGCCGTTTTCTCAAACGGGAAGCACGAAGAATTCGACTCATATTTAAGAAATCTAACCGCCCAATAGAAAGAATATACAAAATCAATACTGTTAAAAAACAAGCTATTATTCGATTGAGCAATTTAGTTTTTCATATTTTCTTTATTATATAGATTTGTTCAAAGATACCAAATATAATTTAATTCAATAAATATTCATAAGCATATCTTATTTTTATGCATCACTTCTCCATTACTATTTCCGTACGCCATTCTCTAAAGGACTAAAGGGAATTGAAATATTTACAATGTTTTGACAAACAATTCAGTCACGATTTTGAAGTGAACCGAAAAAATGTATAAGTTTTCCCTTTGATCTATTGTCTCCCATTAAGAGCAACGTAAATAAACACCGCAATAAAAGTTAATACGTAACAAGTAATGTATATTCGTTTCTTAGCTAGAAAAGAGACGATTGTTCTTTGTAGGGAAATTTTATTCATTTATGTATTTCTTCGGAAGGAAATTAAATATAAATGAACTAGTATTAGTTGTAGAAAAGAGAGAGAGAGGGAGACAGAGAGGGAGAGAGATAGAGAGATAATGAAAGAGAGTGAGGGGGAGAGGGGGGCAAAAGGAGCAAAGAGGGCAGAAAAACGTACGGAAAACTTGCAAGTTAAGTGTATAATTCCTATCGAGTATATCCGGTTGTACTTGAGAAGTGAAAATAGTGATAAAATATTTGTAAAAAAAAATATTTGTTAGCTTTAATTGCTATAAAAAAGATATACTTTATTCACTCTATCATATACAATTTGTTTACTTTTGATTAAGAAGCGTTTATAATGAAAGTTTGCACCGTCAATAAGGTACGGTATACTTTGAAAGGGTTTAGTTGTTATTCCTTTTTTACTCTTCTGCTAACATTTTCGTTACTTAATTTCAAAAGGAACGGTAAATTAGATATTCTTGTTAGTTCTATTCCATAAATTTTTATTGTGAAAACTAAGAAAACTAAATAGCTTTAGATTTTATTGTCCTATTCAGTTTTGTCCCCCACACCCCCTTCCTAAATTCCCTTTTCTCCGCCCAGAAGTCACATGACCTGGAATAATAAATAAAAATTATTTGTCTATTTGAACAGATATCGATACAGTACACTACGTACCGCATAGACGAATATCACGTTTATTGTAAATATATATATATAATGCCTTTGATCTATCTTGATTTTCCTGAAAGAAGAAAAGGGTCCATTTTTATTCGGGTCTGTACCTTTAACAGAAGGAAGCCTGTCTTACGTCGAAGTATCGAAATTCAATTTACCTTTGAATTTTCTCAGGGCGCTAAACAATTTTTCTAAAGGCTTTTTAACTGCAACAGTCTTCAAAACCTGCTTTGTTCAGTTTTGTTCACTTTTAGGCGGCAATTTTTTTTTACAATTTTATTATAAATTTTTACTCATAAATCATGCCATTAGATGGATAAATCTTAACGGGATTTTCTCTATTCAAGCAAAAAGTAGTCTTTATTTACTCAATTTAGATTTTATTTTGGCCCTCAAAGATCCTTTTATTTGAATGTTCAACCAACTCGAAATGTGTATAACATACTTGAATTTTGAACAGATGGGCGGACGTTTCTAAATCTCTTTTGGAATTTTTTCGCATTTAAGTGCAAAATATGCATCAGTAAATAACTGATTTCCATATGGAACTAATAGTCTTACATAGGAATTTACACATCATTTATGCCATACAAGACTTTTCTCATTAAACTTCTATATTATGCTTTAAAAAGAGAGAGAAAGAGAGAGAGAGAATGAGATAAGAAAGAAAATAATCAAAAAGATAAAAAAAACTACAAGTTAACTAACTATATATTTTTACTTAATAAAAAAAGTTTGTAAGAGCGAAAACTTTCGAACATATGGCAACTCGATTCGTTTTTATTTACCGAACATGATGAAGTAAAGGAGTATAGGGTAACAAAGCGATTTTTGTACTTTTAATTAAAACTATAAAGCTTCAAATTGGAAAATAAGAAAAATTCCTTAAAAGTCACTTTCTTCTATCAAAACTCAATTCTTTTTTATAAGGAACAAGTAACAGGATTCGGTTATTAGTCAAAGAGTTAAATTACAATTGGACTATAAAAAGAGGTGTAACATCTTATACGGTTCATCGCTTCTAGTCGAGAATTTCTACAATTTCCCTATTTCTTTACCTTGTTAGACAGATGATACGCAATAAATCAAAGTGTTCAGAATTAAAAACCACTCTTCTCGATTATAAAAAAATATTCTGTTTTTTACCTTTTTTCGTATTACGGTGACACTTATAAATAGTATGTTTTGAATTTAAAGTCTATTCGAATGTTTAAATTGTTCAATTCACCTTAGACTGCATTATCAAAAAAAGGTCCGAAAAGGATTTAAAATATGCATATATTGAGGTATATGGCTAATTCTTTAGGTTCTTTTGTAAACTAAGTCTTTTCTATATTATAAAGAAACCCTTTATTTTACGTCAGTCTCTCCATATTAAAAAGGGATTTTACAAGATAACAAAGCTCTTGAATATATAGTTTTACACCTTTACATCTTAAAGGTTTCTTTCATCTTTAAATTGAATTAATATTTTGAATAATTTTTATTTATCCCTTCTTTATTTTTCAGTTGAAAAGTGCGACGACGGCAGGAAAACCCCTTCACAAGATTCCGATATAGAAAGTTTTAAGAGCGAAGCAGACAAATCAGACGGTGAGTTGTATGCGAGATACATTTTTTTCCTCTTGAAAAATAAAAGAAGCTAGTGAGAATTTACTGCTATAAACGATGCACGAGATCGTAAAGATAGAAAGAAAGTCATCAATTTTACATAAAAATTGAATGTGACTTGAAAGGAGAACTCAGTAGGTGGTGAAACATTCTAAGGCCTAGTTGTACTATTCCTTGTGTTAAAATCGCCGTTAATGATGACACTAATGGCGTTTTTCGGGAGGAAATTACGGTCGTTTTCATGTGTCAACGTTATGTAATAGGAAGGTAAGGATAATCTGACTCTGGTTCAATAAACAATGGAACTGATCGTTCATTGCAAAAATAGCTTCAAGCGGGATAATAAACGAATATATTTTCTCGAAATTCAATACAGTTTTTGCTCGAGGCTGTCAAAAAACAGTGCAAATAAGACAAGAACAAGCAATAGCACGTTTTTCCACTATATATCGGCCTTTTCTCTTCCATAACCGTTCATTACGCTCATGTTTTTATTTGTCATTAGTGAGCATTGATTTATTAATATTCATTTGTACATTTATTTGCTTAAATGTCTATTGAACAAAGTCCATAAATCAACTAGAGCAAGGTGAAAAAAGGGTTTTTTTCTGTTTTTTCTTTTTAAGGAAAAAAAATTTATTGAATGGAAAAATAATGTTTATATCCTAATGAACTTTGTTGTCAATCAAATTCAATACTATTACATTGAATTAGCGGATAAAGAGACGTAATTAGTAAAGTGAGTTCAATCTGTACTTAGTTACGTAATATATTTTCTTAGTTGACGGGCGTGCTCCGTTCTTTTCCACCCAAATTATCTCCTTCCACTTGCCAATGTGTATGCATACTTGCAGACACAACTTTAGTTTCCCAATGCGAATAGGAAAAACTCGCCCGAGAAAGAAAAACTGCTAACAATAAATTAATTAAAACTATTCTATTTATATAAAACTTTATATTAATAATTTTAGGCCTAATAACCATTTAATTGAAACTTTTTTCAAATGGTTTTTTTATTTGACATACTTACAAATGATAGGATAGAAATTTCTATATGGCCTTTTTAAATTAGAGATTAATCGCTTATTACTAATTTAATAATAATAGCTGTAATGGCAAACACAATAAAGATAATATCAGTATCCTCGCTTCCTTAGTCTATGTAAATCATATTGATTTGCCTACCTGGTTAGTTTGTGACAATTAATAGTCTAGAGAAAATCTGACAGAAATGCATTAAGCTTTGTTATGTTTTTGTGTACCTGCGAAAATAAATTGTATACATAGGTTTTCTCTCATTTTTGCATACGGCTTAAAGGCGTTTTAATTCGATCACTGAGTAAATTATAATCCACTTTTATTAAAATTAAAAGAGATAGGAGAAAAGAAAAAAATCGGTTTGAGAGGCCATTAATTCTCCGTTAAATTCAATACACATTTTAACAAGTTTAATTAGCATATCATTTGCATAAATATACACTAGTTACTTTTAAGTATAAACTACTTGTTAAGAAAAACACGATTAAAAGTTACTTCTTTCCCTTTTAGAGTAGTTTAAGTAACGTAAACTCGACTATTAATATTAATTGATAGGACTTAACAAAAAATTATACGTTGCAAAATGTTGTACCCAAGGTTTTTATCCTGTAAAATTATAGGCGTTACATAGTGATATTAAGTAAGTCACGTGACATCAAAGGGATTTACTAAAAATTAACCCGCATGCTAGCCGGAATATAAAAAACCAGCTGCTCTCTTTTGTTAAAAACGCCGAAATCCGTTAGATGAGTATCGACGACGCCCATACCTCTACCTTGACATTGAACTTTGAACTCATAAGCAAGTTTTAACAGGTTCCTTGCCGTTTCATCGGAAACTTTACTGGGAGCTAATAAAATCTAAGAGGTGCGGGGGGGGGTAAATTCAAAAATAGAAAGGAATAAAAAGTTCCTCACCACTTTAGAACGCTTTCAAACTTCTTGAATAAAGTTATAATAGAAATTTACTGTTGTGTATACAAACAGTACAACTGCTTCACTAAAGTTATAAAATACAAAATATATAAAAAAAAAGCTTGTCAAGAATTTATAGTTATTTGGTTTCAATGCAAACAATAACCCCAGGCCTGTTATTATCAACACCTTTTTTTCTATAGTGCGTTGAAATCGCCACTTCGCACCCTGGTTTTGACATGCAAAACAATTTCCCAAATGCAAAAGTGAATATCAATATTTCCTTAAGCAAATAACGGCTTAATTGACCGTTAATTACGGCTTTCTAAGCTGGACAGCAAACACATTTGCTAAACTTTTGAAAACTCTAGTCCGATTTGTAAACTTTTAAAAACAAAGTAAGTTACTTAAAAGCTGTTTGTTTTAAGTTTACCTTCGATCTTTTGCTGTTTTTTCATCCCCGTGTTAAAGTCGGAGTAAACACTTCACTGAAAATATTTCCCCTGACCTGGGAAATTTAGACGCATAGGGCGACGTCGCCATCTATCGTATACATTAGGAGATACAATTTAGACACGTGATTTATTTTGCGCCATCTATCCAAAGCAATCAATAGCTCGCAAAAGATCGATGAAAATCGTATCCGAACGGCCATATTGCAGAAATTATTCAGGCAGCAATTAAGACTAGAAAAAATAACAACAACCAATAAACTTGTGTATATTTAAAAAATATGACCGATGTAGTAAAAAGTTGGCCAGAGTAAATGGATTATTCTGACATCCGAGGTTCACCTTTAACAATTGACAAACTCTATTCTTCAGTAAATTCCGAAAAATTTGCCAATTGGAATGGAATTTTTACAGATTTGTTTGATAACGGTTCGTGTTATATTTATATATTTATTATTTAATTGTATTTATTTAACAACTAAAATATCTTACAAGAAGAAAGGGTGTATTTGTAAATAGAAGACAATAAACTTGCATTAAAAAGTACTACAAGAGCAAAGCAAGCGCGTAATAATATATAAATATATATTTCAGTACACAACGGTCAACGGTATATCATCTTTATACTGTTGGCTAATACAAGTATCTCTACTCTATATATAAATATATATATATATATATAGTTTAACAACATTCTTTTTACTATTACACCATTGGAACTCTGAGATCAATTAACGATTATCGCAATTATTCACTGAATTGAATAGTGTGTGTTAATCTCCGCTTGTTCTCATTAAAAGCACCGAAAATGTTAAATAAACTCAGAATTGAAAAAACGCTGTTCATACAGAAAACAGAAATTTAAGAAGTTCGTGTAAATTTATTTAGCGTACTTTTTCTCTTTAGTTGTATGTAAGGTCTGGGAAAATAGGCCAGAAAAGAATCGTTTCTAATTTACATAATTTTGCATATTTAATTAAGGGAATAAGGTATTCTTGTTTGACCGCTCTCTAATTAGAAAAGACACCTTCTTTTATTAAAATGATTACTATACATACATGATTTATTCGCATTCGGTTCTGTAACATGCATTTTACCGACCAAGAAATTGATTAATAGGCTAAATTTAAGCCTCTTATAGTTTCGAGTTTACATTCAAGAAAGCGAAATGTAACGGCACCTTAGGGTCGTTAATGATAAACCTCAAGCGGAGGGATGCATTGCCACGTGATAATATTTTTGTAAGCAAGTACTAATCATCTAGAAATTAATTAGGTGGACAGGTGTCTTCTTTCTAAAAGAGTCCCTTCGGGACGAAATTACTGCGAGCGACCCCTGGTGTGCGAGCGGACGAAATCATACGGTCGAACGACGTCGTTCAATAATTGCAGGCCTAAAGTGCTGTTATTCTCAGTTCTCATTGATTATAATTGTTAATTTTATGACGCCAGACGGCGCCTGTAACCAAAAAAATTAAAATTGTTGACGAGTATATTAAAAGATGAGAAATGAAAGACTTGACAAAGAAATTGAATGAGATATAACCAGGAATGCAGACTCGGTAATCTGTATGAATCGAGGTTAATTTATTCTCTATCTAAAGTGCAATTACTCGAAACTTTTAATTGAAATTACTATTTCATATTTTGTGTAATATTAATTAATAATCGTTTATTGAACAATTTAAGCCGATTTTGATTATAAAATGATAATCGACCGACAGTAAAAATGTCAAATATTTAGTGGTCTATTTATTAGGATTATCCATTATATAATCTCTATAAAAACTCTACTGATTACTTACAAGACCAATAAGAAGCAAAGTAAATCATTAAAAAAAACTTAAGCAAGATATTTACGCTAAAATGTTTACTTTATTCTCTATTTTGTCACTCTCGTTCAAGCTTTTCTATTTTTCTTGAATACTTTTTTCTACTATAAATGAAAAACATACTTAAGATAGACTATAGCCGTTGAAAATTGTAATTGATGTTTTTTGACCATTACTTCTATTGTTAAAGAAAGAGAAAAGCTTAAGAAGTGCATGATCGATGAGCCGGCATGAGAAAAGCCAAATAATTTTAACATACCAAAATAAGCCCAGTTCAATTTAAAAGTCGTTAGATCAGAATGATAATAGAATTATATATAAATATATACTCATTTTCTAAATTCTCTTTTTTCTATTAAAAAAAAGAAGAGAGAAGCGTCTGGAAACTGTCAAACCTAACAATTTTTTGGCCTATTTTCTCCCCCCGCCGGCTATAGAAACATATTAATATAGCAATAAATTTACCAAAAAGTCAAAAGTCAATTAAAGTGAAAAGTATCGATTTGATTTAATGTTTTTATCAGCTCTCATTTATATATATATATTTAAAACTATATACGGGTTGTTTATTAACTTGAGTACTTAAAAATTGAAATATTTCCATCAATACACGTCTAGTCTTTCTTCTTAACGCCTTGTTTACATTCAATTCTTGAAAGTAGACACTGACGTAGCCTGGTTCCCTCAACACCTCTCTTGAACAACAAAATAGCATAAATTTCTTTCTATTTCTATAACAAACAGTATAGAAGAGAAAGAAAGGGAGAAAGACAGAGAACTGGAGAGGAGAGGGAGGTGATAAAGAGAAAATGTCACTAAAGAAAAGCTAGAAAAGAATTAGGCCCAATTCAACACTTTATTTTTTTGACAAATAGAAAAAAAGAACCCGCTATTTACAAAATATTTTTAATACTTCTTATTTTTTTCTACTATTTAATAAACCTCGTTAAAAAATTTTCTTCTAGGCCTATTCAGAAAAGTAAATAGCAAAAGGGTGCGACTGAAGAGAGTGTAAGAGTGGAAAAAAAGAGAAATTTTTTTAACTTCCAATTTAAACTTTATATAAATATATCAATCTATATAGACCATATACTGTCTATACTGTATATATATGAATAAAGGAAAATGACAAGAGAAGTAAAAAAATGGTTTACTTAATGTATTTGAATATTTCTCTTTGATAGGAAAATTCATATACTCTCTTCGTTCGTTTTTTTTTGTCTTCTTTGCTTAAGAATGAAATAAATTGTTCTTCTTTTTTCTTCACTTTTTATGTAATAAGCAACATTTATTGGCTATCACATGTATTGTAATTATAGATCTCGCTTATTTAAATATATTCTATATTAAATATTAAAGAATTCAATGGATTCTGTAAGCTTTAGAAATTAAACACCAATTTTTTTCTAATTAGTTGTTTCTATTCTCATTTACAGAAAAAGAATGCAAAGGAGCGGACTCCAGTTCGGGAATAGCTTCGGCTTCGAGTCCTGATGAAGCTGTTACTGAAAGACCGAGTAGATGGCGCCATCAAACGTCTGACGTCGTACGAAATTATGTTGCATCTCAATTATACTGTTCACCTGTTTATCATTTGCCCGATTTTCTGCTTGTAAAGATATTTTCATATCTCGATGCTCATGAGATAAGTAAATGCGCCTCTGTCTCTAGAGCTTGGTACTCAGCAGCCTGGGATCCGTCTTTATGGCGTCATATTTCCTTAAAACATAATGATATTGATGCAGATTACGCAATTAAAGCTCTCACAAAAAGACTGTCGTATGACACACCAACAATTTGTGTTAGTGTGGAATCTCTAGATTTAAGCAACACCAGATTATCTGACAATGGCTTAAGGATTATTGGTAGAAGATGTCCTGAGCTAAGGTCGCTAGTCATTCGTAAATGTTCGGCTGTAACCAATGTTGGAATTTGTGAAATTGTATCTCGTTGTGTCAACCTTAATCAATTAGACGCTTCAGGTTGTCCGAATGTCTCTTGCCTTTGTCTATCTCCTTCCGCGTCGGCCCATCTGCCAGCTCACGCTAAAAGAGTTTATGTTCGAAATTTAGATTTAAGTGAGTGCTCGGCCCTGGAAGACACAGGACTGCATTTAATCGCTTCATACTGCAATCAATTACAGTATGTCTATCTAAGAAAATGTATTAGAATAACAGACATTGGACTTCAATATCTTGCTTCATTATGTTCCAACATTAAGGAATTATCCGTCAGTGATTGTCCCTCTATTGGCGATGCGGGAATTTGTCAAACTGCTGAGAGACTACAATCAAGCCTAAGATATTTGTCAATAGCAAAATGTGAGAATATAACGGACACTAGCCTTATTTCATTAGCAAAATACTGCAAAAGACTCAGGTATTTAAATGCACGATCGTGCGCAATAACGGACCGGGGATTATCGGTGCTCTGTAGGTCTTTGGGACCGAGATTAAAATCACTGGACGTTGGAAAAACCGCCGTAAGCGATCTTGGCGTTTGTTGCTTGGCCGAAAATTGCACACAAGTCAGGAAACTAAGCCTAAAATCTTCAAAAACCGTTACGGATCAAGGGATAGTCTCCTTGGCGAAGACATGCGTATACCTACATCATTTAAATATACATGATTGCCATCTATTGACATGGAGATCATATCGTGCTATAAAAAGATCTTGTAAGCGATGTGTTATTGAACATTCAAATCCAACTTTTTTCTGAATATTTGTTTAAAAATTTTTATTTTTTTCTGACAGAAATACAATTGTACAGATTCTTTATTCAATCTACAACATATTTTCCTTCTTTTCACCTTTACTTCTATATTTATTTATATATTTATATACATATTTTATAGCAGTATATACTTTCATATACGCCATTTCCTCTTCCTATATATTCAATGCTTCACTTTGAGTGTTTAGAATGAAAACATTTCGGTGGAAATATACCGGAAGAATAGTAGAAAAGAAAAAAATACTAGAAGAAAAAATATCCCCCCGCAGATCAATTTGAATTCAGAAATATTCGGCTTGTAAGTCGATATTCTATGATTCAAGTATGAAATGTAATGTTAGATCTATTGGTCATCTTGCTCAATCGTTCAAACGCTATCACCTTTCATGTTCATTCTTTCTGACGATATTTTCTTTATGTCAAAAGAGGAAAATTAATACAAAATGCATGCCATACGTCTCTTTTTATAACTGTACTCATTTTATAATGAGTGAAACGAAACGGCTCGCTCACTAACTCTACAGTTCAACAGTTCAATTAAAAATATAATACTTATCCGCAAGATGTCGCTGTCATACGACAATTGTTCTTTTAACTTATTCTACCTATTATCAAAAACGTAAACTACAAGAAAAAAGAAAGAGGCTTTGAAGCATAACTCTAGTACAAAGCTACGAATAGTGTTCATAGTGAAAATTAAACTTATAAACAGAAATTTAACATTAAATAATGTATCGTGTTATTTACTGAGCAAAAAATTTATCAATTTCATGGCTACTTCTTAATTAAAATTGTATAGTTCAAATTCAGAAGAGCAGACATCAAATTTTAAAATGTAATACAACAAAAAATAAGCGAACATGTTTAACTTTCATCTATAAAAAGTTGACTATGTTGGTTTTTCTACTAAAATATGAACTGTTGCTATATATACAGTAAATATATATATATATATATATATATGATTCAATAATTATTGATTCATTTGTAATTGAAAGCCAATAGAGAAAAGAAAACTATTAAAAGACTAATAATTGAATAGAATAATTGAGATTATACAAGTTTTTAAGTATACGGTAGTTTTTTGTCTGTCTATATATATTTCCGTTAGATATGTTTAAGGTATATAAACTTTACAAAGAAATATAAAAATCATGCCCTGGGCGTCACCTTTTCTATTTATACTTCTTGTGGAAAAGGTTAGCTAAACTATACCCTTTTCAATTAAAACTTTAAACAACCTGCTAAGAACGTAAATAATAATTTTTCCATTTATTGTCTTATTCTTGTTTTCCTTTGACTTTCAAAATTAAAAGTATAAATCGAATAAAAGCCAAACCAATCTATGTCTAAAGTAAAGTAATGAATCGATTGTCAAATTTTAGTTTCTTAACTTTTTATTGAGAAATTAGCAAAAAGCTTTGAGAAGACAGTGAAATTTTAAACTTAATGTTTTAAGACTTCAACTAATTGATAATGATGTTAGATTTGAAAGAATAGAATATATCAATATAATTTTCTTCTAACGCTAAACGATAATTAAAGTAAATTTTTGGGCAAACAGTAGAGCGAATACAGTAATTTTTTCTGTCAATCTCCTCTTTCTTTCTTTCTCTTTCTTTTTTCCCTCTCCCTCTCTTTCATATTTTATCAAAAGAATATCTTTCTTGTTAATAACGTAATATTAACAGTAAATAAAATTCACATTATTTGAGAGATTATTCATGAAAGACTCCTTTGTCATAGCAACCCATAATTAATAGGTAAAGAATGCGTCAGACTTTTTAAAAAGAAAAATAGTTCCACTTTTTCAGAAATCAAACCCACAATACAGAACACACGCCCTGCCCTTACCTTTCTCAAAATATTAATCAAATTCCTCCCATTAAGTTTATAGGGATTATCCCATACTCTTTATTCCTTAATTAATCTTTTACTTAAAACAACTACTTTATAGTGAAGAGATCTCCTGCGGCTAATCGACAAAAAATTAACATCTTTAACAACGTTGGTCAACGGTAGAAGTTGCTATATACCTTTTTAGTAGTTTGTAACTGATCAGTAAAGTGTGACGCAGTACAAGAAATAGTATTTTTAAACAAAAGAGAAAACGGGTTAAAAATAAATAATCAAACGTCTTAAAATGCTAATTTTGCTATTTATTCAAATAATTTGTATAATAAGAGCATTTTCTTTTAAATCTTTATTAATTATTGTTTCTGGGCTGTTTTTAGAAAGATTAAGAAAAATCAACATTTAAGTACTAAAGTAAGAGATGAGATTTATTCATAAGGGTTCTTTTATTGTTAAGTAACAAACACAAAATTCTCATATTCTTCAATTTATTTAATTGCGTAAATAAATGAAATTGTCTTGTAAATTACACAATTTACTGAATTTCGTAGCTTATATGTAATGCTGCATAAACAAAGTAATACCGACAAATAGCTGATCGCTGGTGACATCTGTTGGATATTTGATAAACTAAGGAAAATCGAAAGATGTACTTTATAAATTCTGCTAAAAGAAGAAAAGAAGAAAGAGGAGTAAACTGAATGAGCAAATAGTATACATAGAATAATTAAAGAGAAAATTCAATGTTAAGAGACTAAAGTGGAATAAGAACATTTTAAGTCTAATTAAATTAAGCAAAATAAATTTAGTCGACCGATATAGTATAGCTTGGCTTGTATATAGTTCTACTAAGTACCTTTTTTTGTCCCCATCCTTTTTTCTTTAACATAGAACATTAAGTCGCGTCTAGCAAGAATTACTGTCCTAAAAATAAACCTTGTTTGTTATTCCTCCTCAAAGGTTGTTGCCTAAGGAGATAGCTTAATAAAATTATTTAATAATCATGAATTTTGAAAACGTGTTAATTACTGATTAATTTGCAAGGAATGTTCCATCTATTGTATATAATAAAATAGCTCTGTTCGAATCGGAATAGTTAAAGGCGTAATACAAACACACATTTATTAAGTATAAAAGTATTTCCTGTTTACTTGGTTGAGCAAAGTTTCGTCATAAAATTTCATTATATAATTAAAAGTGAACTTTTCAATACGTGTTTACTTAATTTTGCCTCAACTGACATCTTTATCCTATTTTCAGCTCTTTATTTTAAAAGTGTCCCAGAAATATACCTAATACATGCCTGCTCCTTTTTTCCCTTTTTATCCTTCATTTAATTAATTTATTAACCCTTCGCTTTCTCTCTCTCTCTCTCTCGCCCTTCCTTCCTTTCCCTTCTCGTTCACTCACTTTTCTTTTGCCATCCCCGTCCTCTTCATAGTTTCCTTTTAATTATTGTTATTAATGAACAGAAATTGAAACTTAGTTTGTAATTGAATGGGCATAGAAATTTTCATAATAACTGCTCTTATTGAAGATAATATAATCTAAATGCACTGGATCAGAAAATTTCCCTTCAAACGATATCCACCGGGGTTGATAAAGATTGGATAACTATATTTATAATCAAAATAGAATGTCTTATTATGTTCAATATGTAATAGATAATCTTTTCAATGGGGAGAAGAAGAGCATTTATGTTGGAGATGGTATATGATAAAGATTAATAAATCAAACTGTCCCTGACAGCTTATTTTACAACTATTCTACTATTCTCTATAGCTTGCTCAATATCCAGGTCTGATATTTGCAATTCCTATATTTATTCGAACTCTAAGAGCTCGATTAGCGAATACATTATATGCAAACTGGACATTATTAATTATAGGATTGGGTAACGATTTTTTTGCAAACTATAGAAAATACACTAGTCGCGCACACCTGGATTATCTGTATTGTTTAAATTCCTACGAGTGTTTACCAAATGGTTGTAAAGGTTATATTAGGCCAGCAACAGAAGGTACGTGTTTAAAGTTTTTCTCAAAATGCAGAGTCCAGATGTAGCTAGACTTACTCTGTTTCTGTAGAAATTTATATTGAAAGATATCAGGTCATTCCAACCGGTCAATGAACTTTTCGAACATCTTGATTATAAGAAAAAGAAATTTATTCTGCCATTATATTTTCATTGACAGCTTTTAAAACATTCAGCGCGTCTGTTCATCTTTTTATACTTAGCTTGAATAAATAGTAAATTCAGCTGCAGCTCTCTATACATCAATAGTTATTGATGAACTAGAGAAAGAAATGTGCTTCGAAAGCTTTTTCCAGCTATCCCACGTACTTCTTATTTAATAATCTAATAGAATTTTCTCATCAAACGATCCTAACAATCTAATCTACGTAGAGTCTAGTAATAATCGGCTACAAGCTTATAATAATAGTCCAAATGCAATGGTAACAATTTTCAGCATGTGCAACTAATTCAATCGAATCTCCCTGGACCTTTTTTTCTAATAAGCAAACAAATTATTGATTTAATTTGTCTCAAGACCAGCTATTTGATTGCAGTCGATCAATTTTAAAAAGAGACAGATATATTTCCCTTTTCCAGTTCAATATTTTTGGACTAAAATAATCGATAAAATTGGCATAATATCTTTAAGTATATAGCATATACTATAATTGTATATAGTAAATATATATAAATATATAAACTAGTGCTAATATATTTATAAGTAATGCTTTTTCTTTTAAATAACTCTATACATAAAAAATTGTGTTTTTTTTTTAAACAGAATCCTGTTTTTTTGTTGCAAAGAATAATAAAGGAATAAATAATACATTAGAAAAAAATATATAAGGCATTATATTACCGTTTTCTTGGCAATCTTTTGTATTATTTACAAAAACCAGGGTAAGATGTAAAGGTGCCACCTACTAGCAAAATTGTAAATAGACCTAGATTAGGACACTAACATCTGTAAATTTCCAAAGCTTATGTGTGTTATGGATGAGCATAGACGGTAAAGAATTAAGGACTTATTATTGATCTCCCTAGGTTACTTCACTGCTAATTTATTATGAAATCGGATCTTTTATTACATTTAAAGCATCTTTTATCTTGTATATGAAGTATTTTATAAGAGAACATTCATTTTTCTGTAGTTTTTACTTTCAAGTTCTGTTTTTACTGCACCTATTACATATGT